ATTTCAATTTCAAAACGTGCTGTTTCACCAACAAATACTTCTACTCCATACAGTGGGCGCTCCACTTTAATTAAGCGAGCTAAAATTAAAAAAAAAAACACATCAAAGTTCACACCTGTTTACTCACTAGTTCTATACCATAGAAATGTAACAATATAAAAGATCTCAACTGTCTCCCTATCACTTCTTTAGGACATTCAAACACTCTCACTGATAAATGTTTATCTAGTCTCTTTTTAAAATTCTGCAAGTTTGGACAGTTTACAACCTCCTTCTATAAAGTTCAGTTATTTTCAGAAGGAATATTTTTGCTCATAATTAACCCAGCTATCTGCTACAGTTAAACTGCTTTTTTTTTTTTCCTGGCCATAAATGGACATAGAGAATACTTGATCATTATTCTCTTTATACCACCCATTTATATATCTTAAGATATATTGTCACTGATAAATACTCTTAATAACTGTAAATATAGATATTTCAGCTATACACCATAACAGCATGTTTCATAAAGGTACAATTTTTTGTATTGTTCTACACTATTTGGTATTGTGTCTACACTATTTTACAAAACTTTCAGCACTTTCCCTTGTCCAAGGTGTGATAACTTACGCTCAACACTGATATTAGCACTTGTCTTGTCGGTTCCACAGTCACACTCATAAACGCCCTTATCACTCTCTGTAGCCTTCTTGATCACCAGAATACGGCGCAAGCCTTCCGTTTTTATGGAAATTCTGTTGGAAGCGACTAGTTCTTCACCATCTTTGTACCATTTTACTGGCACATCTTTGCTGAGTTCACACTCCAGAGTTATATCATCCTTCTCCACAGCACTGTAGTCTTGTAATTTCACAGTGAAATACGGATCAGCCTCTACAAAAGGCACAGTGAATATGAAACAGTAAATTAATAATGTGAATTTACTACATCGTCAATATTTTGTCACTGCCTACTTATAAAAACTGTTTATGCATATGATATAGCATGTTTTTATTTATTTCTATAATTACCTAAGACTTTGAGGTGAGCCTGTGTATTCATGTCCTTGACTACAGCCTTTATTTCGGAGATGTCATCAAGTGTTACTTCTCTCATTTCCAGTTTATGAACTTTGCCTTCTGAAGACATAAAAACTGTTCTGCTCGTGTGGAGTCTCTTGTCATTTTTATACCATTTCACTGGCATGTCTTCATGAGAAAGCTCAAATTGAAAATGAGCTGTTTCCCCTTCTTTCACTGTTTGATCCTGTAGAGGTGAGATGAACTTCAGCCTCACACCTGTAATGAAGACACATAAATACCATCAGAAAAATGCAAATGTGATTCTAAAGGATACAATCTTTATCCGGTTTTTATTGTTTTCTTCATAAGAAGATACTTGCCTTCCACAAATAGTCTTGCTGTGCTCTTCTTGCCATCAACTTCAGCGGTGTATTCTCCCTCATCATCAAACTGAGAATCATTGATTACAAGAATATGCTTCTTTCCATCCGCAATGATGTCAAATTTTTCTCCAATCTTGAGTATATCGGTGCCTTTAGACCATATTACATTAGCTTCTCTGGTGAGGACACATTCAAACCTTGCCTGGCGCTTCTCAGGGACAGTAACATCTCTTAGGGGCACAGCAAAGTCCAGTTCAATTTCTGGAAGTAAAACAAGACACACAATCTGTAATGTGCGCCATATGAACTCTGCTTAAGTTGATACCATACTCCATGGTGCCCCATACCTTTCACCGTCAGGATAGCTGTAGTAACTGCATTTAGTGCCTGGTAGAGAACTTCACCAGCTTGCTCTAACTTCACTTTGTGCAAGGTTAGGAAGCGTTTTCCTCCTTCAGCTTTGATTTCACATGTCTGGAGAAATGACAGATTTAGGTAAATACAATGCCAGTGCCTTACTGCTAGGTATTTTAATAAAAGGATTCTATAAACATTTTACACACAACAAAGAGTCAGCTAGAAAGATTCAACTTGCTTTTCAAGGAAAGTCCACACATTTACTCAATAATAAAAAAATGGAGTTTATTTCTCCAGCTTTCTACACTTCTTTTAAATGTCATCATCAGTCCTAGCAATCTATTTAGGATGTTTTTAGTATCATCTGAATTATGGGCTGTCATCTTCCATGTGTCCTTTTGTTTGGTATTTAGAGTGTATAATTCTTACTTAGAGAACTAGTGTTTGTTAATCACCATAATGCTTAGCTTTCCCATGTTCTGGCCTGGTAGCATTGACAGACCTGCAAAGATCTTACCACAAAGACCCAAGAGAATCTGTTAACAGTGTTTAATTTAAATAAATTTTGTTGTAAAATTCAAGGATGCTTACCGGTGAGGGTCTCAGGATTTCTCCTTTCAGCTTCCATTCACCAGGAATATCATCCTCAGATATTTCTGTATCAAAGTTTGCTGTTTCTTTCTCATAAACGGTAACATCCTCTAATGGCTTTAAAAGTTCAACTTCCCGTTCTAGAAAGCACAAACAAATACATCCATAATTAGGTCAAGTTTTGATAAAGCTTTATAATAACTCAGATTACCTTTTTTGGTTGGTTGGTTGGTTAGAGGCTTCTGAACATTGGCCTATGAGCTGATTAAATATAATACAAATAAAAACTTCCATACCACCGAGGGTGAGTTTAGCTGGGTATCTTCGACCTTCAATTTCCACTGAATATTCCCCAATATCAGCAGGGCCAGCATTCTTGATTTTCAGGAAAATTTTATTTCCTTCTTTCAAGATTTCTGTCTTGTCATTTTTCCTCATCTCCTTTAAACCATTTAATGTTTGGTGTATCCTTGACAATGTCACAGGTGAAAGTAGCTGTTCCTTTTGGTTTCACATGCTGGTCTCTTATGGGTTTTACTAACCAGTCCCTTATCACCTCTGCATGACAAAAAAGTTACATAAAAACACAGCTTAGCAGACTTTACCCACAAATAGATGGATCATAAAAAGAACTAACTGATTTTGTTTTACAGCAAGCATTTAATAGCTGTAAAAATCTTATCTATCTGTTTAGAGTGTAGTACTATGAGGAAAAGCTTTTCTAATTTTAAGACAGCCCAAATATCCTACAGAGAAAGGAGAAGATGATTTTGATTGCTTACCTACTACCTTGACACAAGATGAACATGATAGCTCAGAGTCTTCCACTGTAACAGTGTAAGTGCCAGTATCAGCATCATCTGAATCAGTGATCGTGAGGGTATGAGACAAACCAATAATGCCCAGAGCAAATTTCCCAGGCTTGGCTTTGATGATTTTTCCATCCTTCCTCCAGACCACATTTCTTTCTTTGTTAAGCTCACATGTCAAGTACAGTGGCTGGCCCTTGATCACAGTGACTTCTTCATCAAGAGTTTTCACAAACCGCACTGGGAGTTCTGTGGTAAACAAAACATTTTGATTGCAGGTGTGATGCATAAATGTTGTATGTATTAAATCAATATGTTTAGTGATTGATTGAAACAAAAGGAGGCATCTACAAAGCACTGTAAATTCACAAAATACCAGTAGTTCTAGTTTGAGGAGGAGCTAACTTCTAAATTATTGATAAACTTGAAACAGGGAATACCTTCAACAATGAGTTTGGCTGTAGAGGTCTTCTCTTTGTTCCCCAGTCGTAACACACAAGTATATTCACCAGCATCTGACAGCTGGACATCAATGATATGCAGTTTCCTATCTTTGCCATCAGCAATAAACTTGTGTTTTGGGCTCTCTCGGATGTTACTTCCATCTTTCATCCAGCTGGTAATCGCAGTGGATGGTGAAATAAGGACTTCAAAGATTGCAGAAGAACCAACAGATTCAGCTTCTGTTAGGACTATATCTTTCATCTCCTTGACAAATTTCAGTGGTACAGCCTTGAGTTGGTAAGTGAATGGAGGTTCTTCAGGAGGTTTTTCACCACCGCTGCCTGGTCTGAGTTTCCTTCTTTCTGCATCTGCTGGTGAAGGTGTCTTCTTGGCTGTAAATCAGATTCAGAAATGAATAAACTAATTCTGAGTTATTGCTTTTACTTGTAGGTATTGTCTTATAGTATCCTACCTTTGACTGGACTGATACCCTTTGGAGTTTCTTCTTTTGGTGGCTTGGCCTCTGAAGTAGAACAGGAATATTAGTAAGAATGCAGTTAAATAAACAAATGTACTAATTAAGACAAACATTTATTTTACGAATCAGATTTTCTCTTCCTTTAGTTATATACATATACAAGGGAAGGAAAATATAAACATATGTATATATTTACACATTTTATACTATCTATATCTCAATGGTACGCTCAGTATCCTGAAGCATGAGGAGACATATTCAGGAGTGGGGACTGAAAGGCAGCTTAGAACTCCTAGTTCCTTTTCTTTTGTCCTGTTCTTTATTTTGTAAAATTCTACCATTCTCTGAGACTTCACTCACAATTAGGCCCTTGATCAATACCCACTTGTCAATCAAAACAGCTTGAATACCTAATACTAATGATATGGGGTGTTTTTTTTTTGTTTTTGTTTGTTTGTTTGTTTATTTGTTTGGGTTTTTTTTAGAAGAAGCAAACATTTTACTAATGAAGACAACAAAACTATAAGTTGTATAAATTAATTACATGTTTCAGGACAAAGTGATACTCTCATAAGTGAGATCTCATAAGTCAGATTTTGGAAAATATTTTCCATTCTATGGTGCTTCACATCATCATTTGTGTAATATAAAAGATACTTTTAATGGGAGAATGATATGAATGAAATGCAGGACAGATTTTCATGGCAGTGGATGGGAAAATGAATACTAGAAAAAATGAGTGAGTTTTTCTGAGAAGATAATGGCACACAACATGATTTATGCAGTTTTATAAAAGTGTAAGACAATGAACATTGATCACACAGATGTACATATAGACAGGTAAGACAAACATGTCAAGAGTGGCTGAATGCCAATACAGCCAGGTGACAGACTAGATGGAAATGTGAACGGTGTTGAAGAATGGGAACAAAGATTACAATGGGAAATGGTATTCTTCTGAAGCAAATAGTACAAGCAGCTCGTGGAAGAAATTGCAGTGGCCTTCCTCACCTCGCTTTGCATGAGACTTTGCAGGAACATCCAGAACTTCACGTGATTCTCCAGGTGCATCCAATTTCCTGTTCTCACTCAAAACTTTACCGACCTGCTCAATCATGCGAGGAGGTTCTGATTTCTGGCATTCTTTCTCTCCTTCTGCTTTCTTGGGGGTTAATATCTTAGCTATGCTTGTGGAGTAACTAACTTCTTCACTTGCAGGGATTCCTTTTCTTGATGGTGTTTTATCTGAAAGCTTTCCCTTCTCTTTTTTCATGATGACAGATGTGCTTTTTGCAATGTCGTGTTTGGCTGAGTTTTTTTCGTCTAATGTACCTCGTGTCACTGGAAGTTCCTTTTCCAAAGGCTTCACTTCTTCGACAGTCAAAGAAAGTTTCTTTTCTTCAGTTTTGGCTTTGCTGCTTTTGAGAGCTGGAATTCCTTTACATTCGTCCTGAATGATCTGAACTTCTTGAAATTGTTTTTTATCTTGAATCTCTGGTGCCTGAACAGGAGGAACTTTCTTTATTGACTCAGATCTGTCAACTATTTCATCTTTGACTCCTTTTTCATGTTCTTCTATGGAAACTTCATCTTTCATTCCTTCTCCTGTAATCACTGTGTCAGATTCTTCTTTTTGCAGAGGAAGCTTTTCAGGGGCATTTTTCTGTCTAATTTTGTCTTTTTTTAGGTGGGTGCTGAAGGTAGTTTTCTCTTCCTTCTCTGGTATAATCTTTTTGCCTATTTTTTTATCACTTAGGCAAGTTTTCTCAGTCAATTGTCCTGAAAGCTCCTCATAAGGAACTTCTCCTTCCTCTGCAGAATATTTCTCTCTTGCTTTCCTTTCCACTACTTCTGGCTTCAGAACTGATGGTTTAATGTTTATGCAAGCTTTTTCTCTGTGAATTTCCTCATCTTCAGTGGGGTGTTCTGGGTCAATGTCTTTTCTCAATGGTGGTTCAGTCTCCTCAGACAGTTCTAAGGAATGTAGTTGTGATGTAAAGTCCAGATTCTTATCTTTCTCATAATCTTTAATAATTTCAGTTTTCTTTGCTTCTTTATTAAGAATCTTATCTACAGAAATTTCAGCTACTGTACCAGATTTTTTCATCCGTTGAGTCTTATTTTGTATGTCATGTTCCTTCATTGATTCTCTGAGAGGAACTTCAGATTTCTCTAGAGTAAAACCTCCACTCTCTCCTTCACTTCTAAGCAGAGGAGTTTCAGCTATTCCTGCCTCTGTGTTATCCTTTACAAAGGAAATTTTATCCTTAGTGGGGATATCCTTAATAGGAAATTCTTCAGGTTGCAAACTGATTTTTGGTTTTCTCTCTTTTCCTAGAAGTCTCTTCTGGTCCCTGGGCTCATAAGACTCTCTGGGTATATGTTCAGGAACAAAAGTTGACTCAATTTCCTGTTCTTTTTCATGTACAAGGATCTTTCCTTCATGAAGAACACTATTCTTGTCAGAAACTTTCTTTATTGCACCTTCCCTCTTTTCTTCTCCAGAATGTCTTTCCACATGTTCAGACGCTATCGTAACAAATTTCCTTTCTTCATCATGTAGTGGTGGTTCATCCTTTGCAGAAGTAATGTGATCTAGCGCAACTTCTATTTTCTCACCTGTAAGGGTAGCCTTTCTTGAAACTATAGGTGTCATTTCTGGCTCCTCTTCTTCGGGAGCCAGGATGACATATTTAAGAGCCACTTTCTCCTGTTCATCTCCCTCTGGCATCAGTACTCCATCAGCTGTTTCCAGTGAGATTTTAAACTCAATTGGCTCTACCGTTTGAATGTCCAGAACTGTCTCCTTAGGACTCACTCTGTCTCTTACATGTGAGTGTTTCTCAATCAAAATCTTCTTTAACACAATTGACTCAGGCTTTTCTTCTTCCACTGGGGGCATTTTATCTCTATGCTTTAGTTTAGATGGTGCGTCAGGTTTTTCTGCAGCTACAAAGGTTTCATAGGTAATTTAGAGAGTTAAAATCCATAAGAATAAGCATCAGGAACAATATATTTTAAGACAAAATTTCCAGCTATACCTGAAATAAAATGAACATAGAACACTTTTTCTCCACACAACAGAAAACTTACAACACAATCACGAAACATAAAAAGATAGATAAGAATAGCAAACACATAGAGTACAGAAGACTAAATAAACCACTGTTATGGTACAGAGTTTGTCCCACTTGTTCACCAATTTAAGCCTAATCCAGGTTAAAAGCAGGAGAAAATGACCGCTTTGCAAGGTCTATCCGGCCGCCTATATAAAATGTGTTATTTATGCCACTGCAGGCCTGGCCACATCACCAAATCAATGACCAAAGACACTCATGATTAGGTTTCTAATGTGTCCAAGATCTGAGGTCCACTGTAGGCATGAGGCCCTTTGAATGATGGGCAAGCAGCGGGTACATCAGCCCTACCAATGGACCTCCAGCTCAGAGGACTTCAGGTCCTAAGCGTATCAAATGAAAGTAGCAATACTCTAGTTCTTCAACAACACTACCACTTTTTCTCAGAACTTCAACAACAAATTAAAAGCAGAAAACCAAACAACACAAGAACTGTTTAGAAACATGTGTAACCTTTCTTTTGCTATACAGAAAATACAAGATGCAGTTCACAAGATGTACACCAGAACATAAACAACATCAAGAAATCAACAAAATACACAAATCACATAGTAGGACAGGCATAGACATCACCACCCAGAAAAAAAAGAGCACAGATTCCTTTCTACGGTATATCAGGCACTTGTGTTTTTTTGATTAGGTGACAATACCTAGAATAACAAGAACCTTGAACAGCACCTCAAATCTTCCTGTAATGAATGAATTGCACGATTGTACAGGTCTTGATTTTCTTTATCCTGAAGGTATTTGGGTATCTCAGAGAGAAAAAACCTATAATAGCATAGAAAAACATAAATACCTGCTTTCTTTCCAACTACTGGGACTGTCACTGGAGTAGTAACAGCTGCTGCTGGTTCTGCTGCTGGTTTTGGAGATTTTAGAGCTGTAGGGGAAAAAAAAGAATTCTCATATATTCATTTTAATAAATAATTTTGTTTTAAGTAGGATATTCTTTTAAAAGCTCTGCAGATTGTATGAAATTTCCAGTCTTAGTAATATTAAAGGCATTTGTTTAATTTCAGTTTAGCCATAAATCTCTGAATGGAAAGTACTAGACACACAAGAAAGGCTGTACCAGTATTCATGGCTAAAGAATTCTTACCTACTGCAGGTTTAGGTTCAGATCCAGGAAGTGAGATAGCTGCTTGCTTAGGTTCTGGCATTTCAAACACAACAATTACAAATAGGTTAATTTACATGATTTGTAATCCCACTGAACGTTAAAGTTAGAAACAACAATACAAACAGAGTTAATCAAAGAAAGACTTGATTGTTTTATATTTCATTTAGCCAGAAAGCAAGAAATTAAATTGATATGAACTCTTGCAAAGCAAGACACAATGGATAAAAGATGAATTTTTCAAGCATTGAAGAATTAAAGACAACAGAATACCCAGAAGAATGCAAAGTGGTTAATCATTACACGGTAGTCACGGACAGACTGGATGATAGTAATGCAATAGGTTAAAACAGCATGATGTTCAGCAATAAATATAATTTAGTCACTGCAATAAGGAAAAAGAGCACCACACGTCTCTACCTTTTGGTGGTTCAGGCACATGTTTCTCCTCTTTTTTTATGACAGGTATCTCAGTTTTCTTCTTAGGAACTTCTGGGACTTTAAAATATTATTTTTATTTTGTAAGATATATTGAAATACCTTGAATCCCCAAATACGATTATCTCCATTGTATTTTAAACTTTTCATTATTTTCACACATAAACAGTTTCAGATGTTTATAAGGTTTATGAATATGTAATTTTAACAGTGAGTTTTGAATAAATAAGAAACACTAAATGGACAGAGGAACAAATATTTGCAAAATGTTAACTAAAAGAATGCTTGAGTTAACTGTTTCTCTGTCATTATATTTTTATCAGTATTATAAAATATTCGTAAAGTTCTCTTCTATACACAGTGAATACTGAGACAAAAAAGCCAAAATGCAGAATTCAAACCCAATTGTAGATGTCAAATTTGGTAGTGCTTTCACCAAAGCTTTAATTTACACATTTAGATTAACACAAACCATCTTTATAACCTCACTTTCATGTCTAGATTTCAGAGAATACTATTAAAAGTGGGATTTATTTATATTTTAAATTAAATTTTACCAGATAGATTTGAATGTAATCTCGTACCTTCAGGTTTCTTAATTTTTTCTATTGGTGTGGGTACTGGTTTAACTTCTGGTTTAGGTTCTTTTTCTGGTTTAGGTTCTTCCGCTTCTGGTGTCTTTTTAAGAACTTTAAAAGAAAATTAATTTCAGTTTTCAAATCATAGGTAAATAAAAGAATAAGAGAGCAAACAAGACAAAAGATTAAAAATGTATCAACAGTCACAAAGAATCAGGAAGTTAAAATATGTAATTTGATACAAATGGAAGATTTTATATATCAAGATACTATTCTAAAAGTCCTTTAAAATTCAAAATCTAGAGCAGAAAGAGAAAAAGATGCTTTTATTAAGAGCAGTCCATGTGAGAGAAAAGATGTCAATATTTAGTGCCTATGATGGAATAAAATTTCCTATAATATCATATATTTCTTATCCTATTTAAATGATGACTTACTATCGATAACTATGCATTAATAGCTGCAGTTACAGATAATTTTCAGGGACAAAATGCAGGCCCATGGATTAAACTCCTATTGACTTCAGTGAAAGAACAAGACTGAATCTTCAAGTGTTATATTTGGACAGCTCAAATTTATATAATGTCTTTTTCATCTTACTTATTTCACTTATTTTTGTCCTGTAAGATATCTGTCTTGGATATCTAATGAGGCTGTCACCTGAAAAATTGAGTATCTGTATATTATTATGTTGTCTGAAATTCGAAGGTCAGCTGCATGGGCATAAATCAACCCACTGTGGTATTTCAAAGAGAACTGGAATTAGTGCTTCTTTTTTCTAACTGATAATCGAGCATGAAGTGATTCAGAAGGCTCCAGACTTTTCAGGAAAAGGGACAGATGCAACGTATGTGACTTTGATTACATTTACACTATCGGTTGAAAATATTTAGGGGTCCAGAATCTGAAGACAGGGAAAAATTGTAAATGCTAGTACAGACTTCACAGAGATTAGGAAAACAGAAGAGAGTTACAGGGAACAGATTTTCAGTGTTCTGTTTTTGTCACAGATTCTTTAGATCTGACATTTTCAGGATATCTCCACTTCATCCCTGAAACTACAAACACTTTCCCCAAGAAATAGACATCAGGTAGTACTTTGTTAATGTCATATCACACACACAAAACAATGTTACATAGGGGAATATGCCCAACAGTGTTAATACGTTAGGTTTTTTAAAACAGAGCCAAGTTACTATACCTCTTTTCAAAACAACTTCTTCTTTTGGTGGAGGAGTAACTTCAGGAATTACTCTGCGAGGTTTCTTTACAAGTCCAGGCACTTAAAAGAATATTATCCCAGATTTTATTATGGGTTCATAATAGTAGTAAGAGCTAACCAACAACTGACCATTCCAACCACACAGATTAAATGCTAGTCCACTACCGAATGTTAAAACAAAATGCTAAGAGAAGTGGATAGTTTAAATACTTTTTCTGTATTATTTCTATATTAGTTGTCTTCTAGGCTTATGCATAAGAGGATTTTTTTACACATATCAACAAAAAAGAGAAGTATGATTTGATAAAACCATAGAGTTTATATATTAAAAGAGAGTTATCATAGTAACATTATTATCTCCTTTTCCTCTTCCATTACAGGTTTATGTCACATATCTATTTACTTGAACTGTCTGTCTACGAAGTTCATAAGGATCCAGTTAGGTTAATTTCTAAACTTGGAACAGAATTAAGAAGAGATGTTCACTGCTTAGTTTGTCTTAAGATCCAGTACGTATGAAAAAATACAAAGGAGTACTTGTAAAGTGCCTTGATCAATTCACTATTCACTTCCATCTCTGGGAAGTGTCTTCTCTCAAAAATAAGTTACATTTCAGCAAATAAAAAACTAAGTATTGAACAATGCTATGTGTATTTAAATACTGTATTTTCAGATGTATTTAAATAGTATATTGTCTTTTATCTCTCCCTACGCAGAGAACCAAACTGAGCACAAAACTCATAAAAACTCTCTCATTCTTCTGTGATTCTGTCTCTTGCATCTCATGAATTGCATGATGTGAGATTAAAGTAAACATAAATATAACATGAACATATGCATCCAAGACTGGAGTCCACTGTCGAGCCTAAGACAGCTTTTTGATATTTCTGAGCAAATTACAGAAGATATTGAGAACTTCAACTTTGGGCTCATGAGAGATGTACTTTACGTAAGATTCTTGTATTAGCTAGGTACCTTTAGCAGGTGGGGGTTCCAATTTCTGAGCTTCAGCAGGTTTTGCAGTCACAACTTTCTTCCTTGATTCAGGAGCTTTAAAGAAAATTATTTGAATTTTACCACACACACAATTAGATTCAGAAAAGAAAAGAACTTTCTAAAAGATCCACACAACTGTTTGATACTATTGACTTAATATAAAGACAAAAACTACAAAGCTAAGATTCTGGCTGAGTAACAGTTTAGAAGTCAGATGATCTGTAGGAAGCACAGTTGATCCAATACCCCTGTTCATATAGTAACACCAGCAAATCATTGCTGGGGATTCTTTTCATTTGTAAGAACATGTTAAATATAGAAGAATTATGTTAAGGATAGAAGAATATGTTAACTTGGTTAAGATTTGATTTTTTTTTTCTGTAACGGTTGAAAAAAACCCATGTAGACTGA